AAATATTTGTGGACAATTTAAACTACAGGTATTATAAAAGTAGAAGTCGAATTAACAAAATGTGAGTAGAAATAATATTATTATTATCTTAGGATTTGGTTTGTTTAGCTGGCTACTAAAATCTTAATTTATAACTTATTTAGATACCTAGTCTGCGAAAATCAAAAAAATCGAACAGCATTTTGTCCTGTCACTGCGTATGTGAATACAAATATAAATGACAATGCAATAACAGTATTAGGATTGCACTACCATGCACCTAGGTTAGTTGATGTTCCTATGGTTCATTTAAGAAGAGCTATTGGTATAACTGGAACAAAACCTGGAAATATGTCCACCTCAGTTAGAGAAATTTATAACAGAGAAATAGTTGAGTAAGTAAGAGAAGATCAATAACCTAACTTAAGACCAATACAAAAGTAATATAATAGTAATAATAAAAAATATGCATAACTATTTTAACTACCCTAACCTAATCTAACTATACACCTATACTACTTAATATACTAAAAACTATACTATTAATTAAGTAAGAATATTTTATTACTGCCTTAGAAATCCAGAAGGTGCAACAAACTACACCTATTTACAATCACAAATGTGTGTAAAAAAAATGCGTCGGCGCCGTCATCCCAACAATCCATCTACAGTCGAAGAACTGATTGATACCTTAAGCCAGCATCAAAACTCAGCGTATGGAACAACAATGCAGAATCCGTCTTCAAAGTAAAATTTCACATTTATTAAAAATTATAAAATTATAAAATAAAATATTTAAATATATTTTTATTTAGTTTTTTTCAACAACATTTACCGTTTATGGTAGAAGGCGAACGGGTTGGCGTCATATTCTCAAATTTAGATGCGATTCAAAAATATAGAGAAGAACTGCTAACTGTAACCTTTGCAGGAATTGACGGCACATTTAAAACGGTACCAAAAAGTCCACCACAGCTAACCAAAGGCTGTTTATTAACATTTCAAGTGGTTCTAAAAAATGTAGTAAGTATAATTAGTAAATTAATAAATATAGCTTCTCAAGTACCTATATACCTATTGAAGTATTGACTGTATTTTCTATTTAAGTCTTTTCCGATGGTTTATGGGCTGACTTCCCGAATGACTCAAGCTACATACGAGTCATTCTTGAGGATTGTTCGTGAGGTTTTGCCATTGAATTATGCCCGGTTAACAATCATATCTGATTATGAAAGGGGGTTAATAAATGCAGTAGAATCAACCTTTCCTGAAAGCAGATTTCAGGGTTGTTGGTTCCATTACTGTCAAGTAAGTAATGTAAAGTATTAAGGTACTTAAGTATTTTATATCAATCAAGTTATTTCTTATTAGGAATAGTTAATATAATGTACATCATTTAATTAATATTTTTTAGGCTATTGTAAGGTATTGTAGAAGAAGTCTAAATAGTATTTACCATTTATTCCAATCGAATCCTGAGGCAGCTACAATATTGCGCATGGTAATTTAGTCTGAAATTAATAAGAATAAAATATTAATACCTTATACTGTTTTACAAAAATGTCTGTTATAGATCTTAGCTTTACCACATTTATCTGCTCAAGTACATCCCAATTGTACATTTACAATACATGATGGATTTTGGGTAATTGTTGAATTTGCCAATCAATATCCGAATATTTATCAACAGATGGAAGTATTTCTGAATGGTTATATTCAGGAATTTTGGCTTACACAAATTGGCGCTGACTCTATAAGCGTCTATGGGTATGAGAATTATATAAAAAAAAATTTTTTTACTAGGTACCTAATAGTAATATACCTAACCTAATAGTTTTAAAATGTATAATATACTTTTTAGTTCAGATATACGCACCAACAATTACCTAGAATCATTTCACGCTATGTTACTCAATCAAATGGGAAAACATCCAAATATTTGGGATTTTTTGCGTAAGCTCAATTTTATAATTAATTATTTTATTCTTTTTATTTTGGAACTTTCAGCTAATAACTATTACAGTTTATTTTATTTTTATTCTAGAAAAATTGTTGTTGATTGAAAATCAATTTTATGTTGAGATGGACCAAGTTCGAAGAAATCTAACAGTAGATTAATGAATTTATTTTATTTTAAATTTATGTACTCTTATATTGTAATTACTCATTTATACTGTTGTTTTTAAATGTTTAGGTAAGAAATCATACATCTAGAGTACAACGGTCAGATGCTACTCGGAGGGTTAGAGAGTATATTGATACTCTCAATGACGATGGGAATCTCTTAATGTTTCTCCAAAGAGCAGGCCATATGATGGATGGGTATCTGCATGGACAAGTTGGCCCACAGCCATGATAACCTGAGAAAATATTTTATTTCAAATTTTATTATTATTTTTATACAATTTTTATACTTTTAACAACTTTTTTATGAGATTTAATTATTGACAAATTATATATTTAATTTTTTTACATTTATTGACAAATTCAATTAGTAGTGAATAGTGATGAATGTATTGATTTTACAATGACTATTTTTTTATAGGTACCTATAATATATGTGTGTTTTATTATATTTATTATATAATTATATACAAATACAATAAATATAATAGGCGATGAATGTATTGGTTTTACAATGATTATGTGTGTTTTATAGTTCTATTATATTTATATATTATGATTTATGACATTGTATGTTTTATAATTTTTTTTAATATGGTTTTAATGCCTCACCTTAGAAAAGAAAAAACAACTTCAGAAGCTTCAAACCATGACAAAATATATATCTTGTCGTGCTTCAAACAGTTAAAACACTTAAAACTAAAACGTGTACTAAAACTAGTAAAACTTTCAACTTCAAATTATGTAGATTAGGATCAGATATCTATAGTATCTATAGTAAAATAACGATTTGACATTTTTTTTTTCATAGTTGGTCACTCTGACTGTCGGAGAAAAAATTGGTTGTTATCATTTGTCGGAGAACGGCCCTTGGCCCCCCATCCACCCATGTGTATAAGGAGGCAGCAGGTGGGCACCTAGATACGGGTATGGTCGAATCGCACTTATTTTAGTCGAATTGTACTTGGTTTAAAAAATGTAATGGTCGAACTGCACTCGGGTAAAAAACAGGTAGTGGCCAAACTGCACTTGGGCTCAAAAAAGTATTTTAATAAAATTATCATGCATTTGAAGGGCTTTTTTCTTTGCTGAATTTGAAATCATTCTCCGAGGTAAATGAAGTGGTTCTTCATGAATATGTATCAATTCAGACCGAAAAATTACTTAAGAAAATTCATCTAGATATAGTTTTGAAAGACAACCACGATGGATACAACGCCATTTAACACTATCATTTATACGTTTTTCTTTTTAAAATGTATAATTTTGATACACGATTAAGTCACGGCCTCGTTCACTTTTAATAATTTTTAAACTGTTCATATTTACACAGCGGCGTAAAAGTGTGTACTAATTGTATTTTGCATAGGTCTACATAGACACATAGTTCACGCCATACGGTATACAATAAAAGTATTAATCTTATATGCGTTACCTAAATAGCACGAACTTATATATAATGCTATTAATAAGTACACCGTAGTGTTATTTTCAATTCACAATATTTTTAACGGGTTTTCCATTTTAATTTTTTTTTTTGAACGAGTGCAGTTCGACCACTACCTGATTTTTACCTGAGTGCAGTTCGACTATTACCTTTTTTCAATCCAAGTGCAATTCGACCATTCATTTGTAGGTAATAAGTGCAATTCGACTATCCCGCAGAAAAGGTAGAGAAAAAATAGTTGACCCGAGTCTGGGACACAATCGACGGTTCCGTTTTAGTTGCGTTCCGTAAAAAATAGATACACGAATTCCGTTCCACAATATTGGTTAGGTAGAAGAATTTTTATTTCGTTTTCAAGAGTTCACCGTGGTGTATTTATCATACGGGTGCCTGGACTTTAATATTATGTTTTGATATATTATATTACGTGCCTAATTTTATAAATTATGATAATGGATGGATTTTGTTTGTAGACCGATTCCAAAAGCAATATTATCGATAAGCAATAATAAGCAAGTTCGTTTATCGTCATCATGAACAATAAAAACATAACCTCTATTCTACCTGTACTATATACCTGTAAATAATAATAAAGTAACCGGGTTAGATTTTGCAAAAAGCAAATCTTATAAATATAAACCGAATTTTTGACTGAAATTTTGATTGATATCATTATGACATTACTATTATTATTTATTTATTATATTATATTATGGACTTTATTGATTTTGATTACATTTAATAGTGATTTGACGTTTATTTACTTTTTTATTCTATTTGATAAACACATTTTTGTTTGATTTGTGTTTATGTTTATAATTATTTCTTGTATAGATTGTAAAAAAAGTTAAATTTAATATTTAAAAATTTGAGTGGTAAAGGTATTAATGATTAAGGTTTTGACGAAAACAATTTGTGTTTAAGATTTTGACAAGTATAATTTTGTGTTCAAGATTTTGAAAATCAAAGAATTTGAGGTCCAAGGTTCAAAGTTTCAGGGTTTTGAATGTTATAGATACTTATTGACATAATTTTATATTTAATTTTATCGTTAAAAATGTTGACGTTTAACCATTTGGCATTTAACTTATTTAATCCAATGTAGAAATATTAAACTTTCTAAAAAAAAATTGTTATTTAATTTAAAATTGATGAAATATTAAATTATAATTTAGTTATCAACCTGTAGATAGTATACAATAAGTAGTATTGTCATACTGTAGATTAGCTATATAGTTATAAATTTAGCAGGAAAGCGAAAATGGAGAGGTGACATATTTTCAATATTGTATGCAGTTACAAATGTTAGCTATAGTATTATTATAATATAATTTCTTATGGGCTATGGCAGTCAATATATGCGAGCCGTTGCCGTTATACTTGTCTGAGTGCATTTTATATTATTACTAGCTGACCCGGCAATGCTTTGCTATATCTAGATTTCAGTACATTTATATATGTTTAGGAATATGTGAAAAATTTGATATATTATTCATATATTTAATTAGATTAATTTTTTTAGTATAATTTAATATATTAGTGGGGAATATATTTGTATGATTTTTATTTTTTTGCCAATTATATAAATTTGTCTTAAGTATTAAATATTTCTGGATACATCACTTTAAGTGCCTCGCTTCTAGGGCCAGCACAAATAGATTGAGATTGCATCGACAAACCACAAACCATGCGCATCGACAACGATAATTAATGTGTTATCTGTATACTGAAATAACTCAGTTATTATGTTTCTACAAACAAAACTAAGATTACGCCATTAACCCATATAATAATCGTAGAGTGAAAACTTATAGCTAAGGAAAAAGCGGAATAACAATGTAAAAAATAAGTGTCTGATACCGTGGTTTGAAATCGAGACCATGTGTTTGAAGTTTTAAAAAATATGTAACACTGCGTAAGAGAAATCTGTGCAAGGGGCAATAATTTTATGCTTTTTAAGTATATTATACAGATGTGTGGCACAAATAATTTTTTAATTTTATTAATCTACTTATTTTATGACTCAAGTTATACTAATAAATTGTATATTAAGATCTTCTCTGAATCTAGACCTATTGATTAGTGAAAACTATACTAAAATATGTTGGGTACTTTTTGAGTTAAGCACATACATACAAAAAACTGGGTTCTATTTTATGCAGTAGTATGATTATATTATGGTTTATTATTTAATGTATTAAAAATATTATTATTAATTTAACTTAACATTGTTTGGATTACTTTATTAATTTCTTCCTTTTAACAAACATGATATGCTTTAGAATTTTTTGACTCCAGTATAATTAGTAAACTAATTATGAAGAACCTTGAATTATATTTTCAAGCTTTTTTACAGAGGGAAACCATTTTAACAAAACAAATATTATTTTCTTTTTTTCTTTAGATATGCACAATTTGTACTTTTTAGCATAATAAGTGGAAATGGTGACAGAACAAAAATACAATGGAAGTATGAAGTGTCAGTTCCTTTTTAGACGACGCCTGGGGTTACCAGGAAAGGCGTGGGTGGACTGGTTTTTAATGAGTGGGTCTTGGTGGTGACGAGTATGGAAGTTTTCGTAGAATTGTGTAGCTTCGTCTGTCATAGTCCTAATTGAATGGTCTTTATGTTAAGTGTAATTAGATACAAAGGGTGGGACATTCGTTATTTCCCTATACGTAATATTCTGGAATTGTTTGATTTTTTTGGTGTTGGAAACTTTGGCAGTACCCTATAATTGAAGACCATAGGTCCATAGTGGTTTAAGTAATGTCTTATACACAAGAATTTTTAACCCAGTGTATTTATTGTTTGTGAAATATGTTCGTATTGTGGGGAGACGGGCTTAAGACCTCTTGATACGGGCATGGCTATTCCAGATTGTGTCAGATGTAGGAATGAGGGTGTTATGTAGGTTGATATTAGGGCATAGAGTGAATGTTGGTTTATACTGACTCATTAGGATTATTTTTGATGCGCCATTTTTTGTACCATTTAAACATTGAGTTTGGAGATTTTCTGAGACAGTAAGAACATTTTTGTCGATTGATATGATGATTTGTCATCTGCGTAATCAGCTACAATAGTATTTCGGAGGATAGGCTAGTCTGAGGTCTAGATATTAAAAAGAAAGGAAGAAAGGATTCCACCATGTGTAACTCCAGTGAAGATTTTCTCGATTTTGGATATTGAAGGATCCTCTGTTGAAGTCATCTGTTCGTCTAACAATCAATGCATCCCCAACAATACAAATGAGTATATGACCCAACCAAAACTATTTTATTCTTCAATAGATCGTATTAAGTTCCATAACTTATTAGATCAAGAGATTATTTTGAACGTTAAATTAAAAACATATAAAGATTTTGATAACACAGTTGATAAATTTACCTCAATCATTTCAACAGCTGCCTGGGCANGTCGGGTGTATATCCACAGCGATTTACCTCAATCATTTCAACAGCTGCCTGGGCAACCCAATTTAAGACAACCACAACTAACTCTAAGAATTTACTATTACCGATACATTTGCGCTCATTAATTACTGATAAAATGAGAGCCAGGGCACGTTTTATTACAATTATTTTCGTGCTAATACTTAATAGTTATTTGATATATTACTTTTCGTATTACAACTTGAAATGTGTTTTGATATCATTTTATAAAATTAAATAAATGTTGAGATTTTAAATGTAATTGTTGTTCATGAATTTCTTTATTTTTTGTTTGCTTACATGTTTACATCAGCATTGTGTAATGTAAGCTGCAACCATTTTTTTTTAGAACAATACTTCTGAGGCAATAAAAGATACATTAAATTGAGAGTTAAAATCCCAAAATTTCAATTTTATTCTGCTAAAGCAAACACGTTTGTAAGAAAAATATTTAAAAATGTACTGCCTCGTCCGACAATATTAAAATTATGGTATTCAGTTGTCAATTGACAGCCTGGGCTTACATTCGCGTGTAAGCCAATCATATCAACCAGTGGTATGCAGTATTTATATAGATGAAATGGCAATGAGAAAACAAATTTCTAATTTGAATGGTTAATTCTGTAGAAAAGTGGGTTAATGTACTACTCTAAGTAGTAAAGATGACGATCAAGATAATACCCAATTAGCAAGAAGTTTTCTTGACTGTTAATATAAATTGCTATTGGAAAGTTCCACTTGGATATTTTCTTATCCATACTTTTTTTGAAAATTAAAGAGCTAATCTTTTAACCAAGTGTTTGAATTAATGAAAGAAACAGGAGCAGTATGTCATTCAATCTCATTTTATGGAGCCCCGAGCAAATTATCACTGTGTACTTCATTGGGCCCGAACTTCGATTACTTCTCTCTATCATTTAATCCATGGTTTAACAATATTCAGCAAACACCAGAACAATCAAATCCATTTATCTCTTTTGGGACACAGTTCATATGTCAAAACTAGTTCGCAACACTTAAGGCGACACACAAGTTTTTCTAAATGGTAAAAAGGAAATAATTAGATTCAACCATATTGTATTAAATTCCAAAAGGATTCTTTACGAGGAAGTAAAGGTTTGCATGCAGCCAATAAATTAAAAAAAATATAATATACAATATTATGAAAATGAGATGAATGTATGTTTAGCTGCACAAACTATAAGTAAGAGTGAATATACTGTAGCTTATTATTCTGCGAAGAGTTAAAACTATTATCAGCCATCAGGAGTAAAAGCTGTTGCGGAATTGTATGGAAGTGTTAAACAATGTAGTTGATCTCTCTAATTTTAACAAGCTGGGAAATGGGTATTATTTTGTCCAGTTAATGACTAAAAGATTAATTATATTAAAGGTTTTTCGCATTATTTTAAAGCTTATACTGGAGGCCTTAAATATTATGATGTTGAATTTAAGGCTGTTGAAGCACACACATAGGCGTGCGCAGGAATTTTTCACAGGGTGTGCAGAATTATTTTAGTAAGGGTTACTTGACCTACTATAATTCAGTAAGATAAATACTGTCTTAATATTATAATAATTAGTTTATAATAAATTTTAATTTTAAAATAAAATAATTATTAGTTTACATATTATACAACTAGCATTTACATTTATAGGTATTTTATAATGGTAATCTTCTTTGTATTGGTGTTAGTGTTTTAAATTCATCAATAATTTCCTCCATATCTAAAGATTTTGCAATTTCCTGTTCAACAAAAATTGTAAGTAAGGCATCTAACCTTTCTTGAGCCATTGTACTTCTTAATTTATTTTTAACTATTGCCATTTTTGAAAAAGCTCTTTCACAAGAGCAACTAGTGACTGGTATGGTAGTAAATTCTTGTAGAACTTTAAATATATTTTCAAAAGTTCTCATTCGGTCTGTTCCATCTTTAGTTATCCAACTCAACCACTGAGTTATTGTACTATTATTACTTCCTCTTGGTATGTCATCTATTTGTGTAAACAGTCTGACTTCAGTGTTGAGTTGATCAAAAGATAAACCAAATGTATCAGAAATAGTCTGTAGATGTTTTTTTTCTATTTCTAGTTTTAATAAGTTACCAACACTATTGATTAAATTTAATGTATCTTGACTGAAACGAACTTTGATGCCATTTAACATTTTATCAATAACACTGTTATACACAGTTATCTTCATTTCTTCTTTTGTATTTTCAAAAAAATGTTGCGAATGATGCTCATAATCTACTTTAGTTGATACTTTACGCCTTTTTATCTCAGGTATGGATACATCAATTTTAGTACAAGCCACTTTAGTTTCATCAAAAATTGTATTAAATGTTTTGTCTGATCTCATCGTTTGAAGAGAGTTTTGTAAAGCAATGATTAGTGTAACTGCTGTATGTAAATCCAAGTTAGGTGATTGTAATGTAGCACTAACTTTGTTTACTAAATTTAGAATAGGGCTTAACATACACATAGCAAAAACAAATTTAAAAGTTTTCAAAGAATAAATGAGACCTTTTGTTTTGGCTCTTACATCTGGAAGATTTGTTGAGTCTGATATTTCCTCCAATGCTTTTAATATTGCTACATAATTATGTTTAATTGCCTCAATTGCTTCAGAACGGCATGCCCATCTTGTAGTTGACAGTGTCTTCAATGTTTTTAACTTTATATTCATTGAAGCTGAAATTTTCTCTAATATAGCATGACGTACACAACTACCTTCAATTAAATTGTAAACTAATTGAACAGTACCAAAAAAATCAAATGTCACACGGTTTTCTTTTCCAATGGAATCTACTAACACAAGGTTTAAGCAATGCCCATAACAATGAACATAGAAAAGCTTTGAATTCATCTCTTTACATTTAGCTTGGACGCCTGCTACATGACCAGACATTGTAGAAGCACCGTCGAAGCAAACCGACAACACATTATGCCATTCAATACCTATATTGTTCAATACATCACATAATTCCAAAAAAATAGTTTGAGCATCTCCATGTAATAATCTTCTTAAACAAAAAAATCTTTCAACTGGTCTTTTTTGCTCGGATGAATAATATCGGATAACAAAAGACATTTGCTCATTGTGACCAACATCACTAGTTTCGTCCGCGATTATTGAAACTTTTTTTCCACAAAGTTCATTAGAAATTTTTCTTCGAATAATATTACAAATTGATAAGATTAGGTCATTTTGGATATGGTTACTCGTATATAACGCATTCCGAGGTCCATTATCTAAATGATCTTTTAATACTGGATCATATTTTTTAAGCAAATTGACTAATTCTAAAAACAACCCTTGATGTAATTCTGAACTTTTTTCAATATGTCCACGAAATGGACGGCCACCTAGTCCTAAGCATAAAGTAACATCAATAAGACGATACATTATTTGTCTGTTATGCAATTTTTGTTTCTCTTTTTGAGCAAGTTGAATTTCATTTCCTTTGTCTATCAGAACATCTATAGATTTACAGTTCAAAAAATTACTCATTGAAGTACTACTGTTAATATGGGACTTGGAAAGCTGATGTGTTCTAAACTTATTAGTTCCTAAACGCCAATTATTAAAACCCAAATTTGAGAAGGTCTTATCTAATTGTCCATTATTTTTTCCATTAGAGTGTAAAAAAACTCTACAGCTGAAACAATATGCACGATCTAGTTTAACGCTGTATTCCAGCCAGCTGAAACTCTTAAACCATTCTTTATGAAATTGCCTTAGAGTGTTTGACATTTTGGTTCTTGGATAGTTTTCAAGAATTGGTTGATAAGGACCTCTTTGTATACGATCAGATATTTCAATTTTATTAGAAGGCAAAGGAGTTGCTGGATCTAGAGGGTGCAGGAGAGTACAATTGGGCTGGTTAGATGGTAAGAGCATAGTACAATCTGAAAGTAATAGTATAGGTATATATTTGTAAATTATAACACAATTAAAACATTGATACAAGCTAAAACTATAACTACACCTACATGGCACAATGTTAGTGATACAGAAGTGGTTATAGCAACATACATTAAAACATACATTTTACAGAATTTATAATTATAAATTATTATTATAAATTGGCTTGTAATTGATAAGAGCTACCAAAATAATAAAATAAATAATCAAATGCTATAATACCCATAATTTATTCTTACTGTATTTTTATGAATATAAAAACAAATACTTAGTTTTAAATTATAATGTAACTAAAACATTGAATATTGATACAACAAAAAATAATGACTGGCTACATAACACAATATATTTTAGGATATACAGCGGTGGTGATTAGTGATTACTAATTAGTTAGACACATTAGAACATGAACCAGGTCCCTGTTAAACAACACCAAAATAATATAATTACATAATACATTTAACATTTACTTCATAGAATTGAAAGTTTAAAGTACATACCTATCTTTGAATTGCTTAAGTCTGATTCTTTCTCTATTGTATTATCTAATGTATTATCTAAAAGAAGAATTGTATTTTATTGACTGTATCAGTAAAACTGTTTTCTTTAATATATTACTTAAATCATTGACTTTTGGTGATTGATCACACATCAACAATGAGTCACCCGGGTAGTCTGTATTTTTAACAATAGACATTGGATCATCTGGATCATTTTTAGGAACATTAATATGAGAAAATGTATTATCTAAAATAAAATTTGTAATTAAATGCATTTAGTATTTTCATAAAATTGTTCTTACCTTGTTTTTCTTTGGGTTTGAAAAAATTCAACAATGTATTTTGTTTTTTTGAAGCCATACCAATTATTATATAATTTCAAATATTACGAATACGATTTAAGAATTAAGATTCAGTATATTAATCATAGCACAGAATAAAATTGGCATATCTATGATATTAATCGTTATTATTTTATTAATTGAAAACCAAATATGAAATAACTGATAAGTGATAAACACAAAAATTGGAGGGAAACACTATCAATCAAAAATTCTTAGTTAAATCATTGACCACGGTCATGAGCATAATACCAAACCATAGACCTATTTACTAATCGATATTAGATTTATTATTATTATTAGGTATTGCGTTATCTCGATGAACGGACTATTATTTATGTAATTTACAATAGTGTATAATACATAATTATGTTATATATTATACATGTATACATATTATACAGAATTAATTATACCAACTCTCAATAATCATTTTTAAATAATTAAACAATGTTTCATCAACAATTTAAAGTAGGCACACATTTTTGCAGGGTGTGCAGCTGCACACCCTGCACACCCCGTGCGCACGCCTATGAGCACACAGTATTTTTTGTAGTTTTAGACCAATAAGCATATAAAGGCACATAAATATTACTAATGTAAACTATTTAAAGATGATACAGGCACTAATACTAATAACAAAGGTATTTTGTAGACTCAAAATAATATAATATTTATTAAACATTCAAACAAATAATATATACATTAACCAAATGATGAATCATTTATTTCAAAGTCACAGTTTAAGCATTACAAATGTGTGATTAATTTTTAAAAACTAACTAGCTTTTTGATCTTTTAGTACCGCTTCCACCTTCGTCTTTTTTACGTTTTAATTCTTCACGTTCCTCTTTTTGTTTCTCATCTAAATAAAAAAATATAATATAGAATCTAGAGGAACTTTATATAAATCTATAGATTGATATTTAGAAAAAAATATAGATATTTTATGTATTGGTAATATAAACATAAAGTAGATGGTAAAAAATGGGGTGGAAAACAAGGTTATAGCACTTTGCTGTTCAGTACAAGTTATGAGTGTACCTCATTATATGAGTAAAACTCACTGTAGGCTATGTGAATAAAATTCGAATAAATTATTGCGTACAAAAACAATTCCATGTTAACAGTTTCAGGTTCCTGGTATTATTATTAAATTAAATACATTTTGATCAAATCAATATTTTTTACACAATAGAGACCGTTTATAATGACACCGGTTGTGGTGACATATTGGGTGTGATGACCTTAGATTGAAGGTCCCGGCAAAACCTATATTGTATGTCCTAATTTTTATCGATTGTTATAACGTCTATATAATGACTACACGGATGTTATGACGTTTATATTTGGTTATATTGGAAAAATATCAAAATGTGTATTTTTCTGAATAACGTAAGTCCAAAGATAAATTTTGAAAAACTAGAAAAGAAAAAGAGCTTAATTTTTATTCATCAAAGTTCAATCTAAAATAACAGATTTTTTAAAATCATAATTGAATTAATTAATTTAAATATGTACATATTTAAATGTTTTTATCTTTACTTTTTTCTATATTATATATAGCATGAATAAATATTAAATAATAATAATAAAATGTATTGAAGTTACAATTTTTTTTTTTTCATTTTTTTTGTAATGACAGCCGGTTATATGACCTATTTTCTTTGGTTCCTTGAACGTCATTATAAACGGTTTCTACTGTATATATAATTTTTTCACATTAGCATTACAATATGTATAATATAACATTTTTTATTACCAAAAATAACAAATTTTAAATTAGATTTGAATAAATTTTAAAATGTGGCTACTCAAAAATTCTCAAAAAAATAATTTTTAAAAAGCTTATACTTTTTGAATTTAAAATGTTTTTTTACAACTTAATCAACATCAAAAATAAGATTTCAAAAACTTCTAGAAATAAACAACATGACTTAAATAAATATTTAAAAAAACAACATTTCAATATTTCAAAAAACAATATTTATAAATTGGCTATTTTGTGTAAATGATCTATGCTCCGATTATTCATCAGTCTTCTTCACAATGGACACCGTATCCCCAAATAAGTAAAGCAAACCCAATCTTACTCAAGGCCATATAGACTGGGGAGTCTTCAGAATCCAACTAGTTAACCAAATTGATCTCAAAACTAGATTAGATATAGACAAATTAGACAATATATAGATGACGTTGTTAACATCCTGACAATGTAATTTCAACAAGGAGCATAGTTATTGACTTATCAGTATCTTAGAAAAAGTGAACATCTATAACTCCATGATCAGGCTCTCATACTTCCCTCTACTTTGGAAATTCTCGATCATAGTATCATTAAAATACTCAAGTCTGGGAAACCACCTGACTCTCCTATCTGGTACATACCATTTAGCCTCCCATCTTTCTTCTTCAAAGTATTTGAAAAACTCATACTCAAAAGCTTACACTCAATCATTGACACAAAACTGCCAAACAATCAATTCGGTTTCCTTAATAATCATTCCATCATGCACTACATTCATCGCAAAGTCGACAAAATTTCGTATCCACTTGAAAAGAAATTAATTTTCATAGGCACCTTCTTGGACGTAGCACAAGAGCCCTACTTTTTAAATTAAAACCAATATTTCCCTCCAGTTTCTACATAATCTATAAGTCTTATCTAGAATTGATGAAAACAAACATTTTTTTGTGTGATGTAGCCCAGTCTTATCTGAAATATCACTAATTAGAGCTATAGAGTACCTCAAGGAGCTGTATCGGAACTTCTCATATTCAATCGGTACACAACAGACCAATTCACTAGTGGCGATTTCGCTGATGAAAAAGCTTTACTACGTCTCCACCATGACTCTCTCTCGGCTTTCAATAGGATCCAAACGCACCTTGACATGCTTACGGCGTGGTACAAAGAGTGAGGATTCAAACTCAACGGATCAAAAACCACCCATAGCACATTCACACTCAAGCCCATAAACTGCTCCTCTATCACACCCGACAACCAACCTCTCCCAACTGCCCAAACGTTCGTTACATAGGTACATATCTAGATCGCTGTCGTACGTTTGCTGCCTACATACGCAACAAACGACTAGTTCTCAACAATCGACAAAGGCAGCTTTGCCTCTTCCTTTCGTCCAGACACGTCACATTACATAATACAATTCTCATTTACGAGTTACTTTTCAAACCTATATGGTAGTACGTAGTTAAACTCTGAGAATCAACCAAAGATTCCAAATCCCTCGGGAAAATAATTAAATCTTCTTTTTATGTATCGAACTATATTCTCCACGGGGACCTCTTCATTCCGACGGTCAAAGACGTTGCTAAGTTTTTATAGAAACGCATCCGTAGTAAACTAGCCCAATCCAAAACCTCTCTTCCCGAACAATTCCAGGTGACGGTGGCAAGCGTTAAAAGCGTAGCTGGTGCCGTAACTTGCTAGTCGACTAAATATTACTACCTACGTCATGAAGTACTATTATTGAATTGTTTCTTCAATCAATCCAACCAAACCCTCTTATGTATCTATTACGCTTAAAATGTATGAACAAATATTTTATACATATTGTACAAATTAAAAAAATATGCAAAAAAAATGTATTTACTACCTTCTTCTCGTTTTACTAAATCTGGAAAAAAAATATACATTTTAAAATACATTTTTTAGGAAAGTTATAATTGTATAGATAAACAAGTTTTATCTATAGTAAGTACATAATGGATACTTTATTATCTGATCATTGTTACTGTGTACATTTCTTGAGTAAATCATTTTAATAAGCTGCTGATTTTTATAAGCAGTGAGCCAGTGAACAAGGCCGTAGCAAGAACTAGTAGCACCCCTGGCAGAAAACCAAATTTGCCACCTCCCATAGAATTTTTTGTACAAAATACCATGCTCATTATTATATAAAAAAAAACCACTGTTGGTTGTGGCACAAGTATATTATATTATATTTTATTATACAAATATTTTTATTATTATAAAAATTGCTCTATTATGACGTATTATAAATAAATAATAATAATAGATTAAAACAAAAATGATATTTGGTCAACCAAACTTTTTTCAATAAACAAAATTGCCTACTTGCTAGACTATTTTGGTTTATCGTAGATCTTAAAT